AAAGACAGAAGGGGAGAAAAGGAAAGCAGATATAAGTAGTTTGGGATTCCCAATCTAATGTCATAAAATGTCACATTCCTTGAATTTTATTTTTATTTGTTTATATTGGGGAAAGCCAAATTCAAACCGAAATCTTAAGCAGAAACAAAATTCAAGATCTCTTATATGTATATCGTCACGTTCTTCTGTTCTAATTTCTCTGTACAGCAAAACTAATTTCACAGCTGTGTAAAATGTAAGAAGTAAACAAAAAAGTTGAAAATGGAAGATGAACCTGACACCTGTTGTTTTCGTTGTCAACCCTAACATTCTATTGGTGGCCATATTTTGACAGGCAAAGATTCTTTTAAAGATATCGACCATTCGTAGTCGTAGATCAAACACACAGGGTAATTTTTTTTTTTGCCACAGAACACTCTCTGCTATATAATTTGCTATTTCAATAACATTATTATTATTATTAAACTAATTCATGCAACCTTTAGAAATTTCCAACTACTCAATAAGAAAATCATTCCCACACTCCATAACAAAAACAAACATTTATTGCCAATGAGCAGTGTAAGGTAGATTAAAAATCTATTACAAGAAATCTAAAAATAGTTTATTGCAATAGAGAGATGAATTTAATTACAATGTTATTGTAATGTATATTAATAGCATAAACTTTTGCACTGTGTTATCACGCATTCTAAATTTAAGTGACACATATTTTAAAGTAATATGAAAATTATTATTAAAAATTAATTTTACTTACATAATAAATATAATATACGTTAGTGTATTATTAAAAAATATGAATATAGATTATAGTGATAGATAAAATATGTTCTTAAATCTCATTTAAAATCAATGTTAAAATTGTGTATATAGTTATATATCAAAGAAATATATATCTAAATATATTATATTTACACTGTCATTTTTTTTATGTTACTACATATAATATTTCTTGTAATATTAATAAAAAATTGTGTATTTAATTTCTATTATGTGTGATTTTTTTTTCATGCCAATAACTTTCATAATATTATGAGCTAGACTAATCTTTAATCAAAAAAATTAGGAAATACTTGTGGCAAGACAAAACAAGTATAAATTTTTTTGATAATTATTTTAAAATTTATATCTATCATGATTTATGATCAATTAGAGGTATATTTTTTGTACAATTAAGAATGTATGAAAATTAAGTTCAAAATTAATTGTTATTCGGAAAAATTTATATTTATAATGTTATATTCTGTAAAAAAAAATTGTAATGTTATAGTTTGATTTTATTATTAATAATTTAATATAATTCAATTTTAGATAAAATTTTCACAAGATCAATTCTAGTAGGTGTGTTAGAAAAATGTTTCATCAGTAAAAGTTACATTTCGTAAACATAAATTAGTTTTTAATTGTCAGTTTAGAACATTGTGTGGATCATTTCCATGAATATAAAAGTATAATAAAATTTTACACTATCAATTAAATAGAAAATCATATTTAATATAATTTTTAAAATAATTATTTTAAAGTTAACGAATTTTATCTCTCTCACACACATACATACATACATACATACATACATACATACATACATACATACATACATACATACATACATACATACATACATATTGTTTCGATAACATCCAAGAAATACCTATATCTCTTAACCATGATGATATTGTGAAAAAAAGGATAAACTATTTGTGAAGAACTAAACCCTAACTTTGCAATTGATTCAAAGTGAAGCTAATAAATTTCATCCTTATTACCCTCCTATACATTTGATTCATAAACATATGAGTTTGGACTGGACTATTACCTTTCAACATACCTTTCATGATGAGGGCAATTTTTGTGTGGGTTGACGCTTGTCAAGTATGGAGCAATGCATTAGGATGTTTTTCTCATTTAGAATGATTGTCTTTCTATGCTATCTTCACTTGTTTTGGCTGATAAATGGATGGTATTTTTAAGACATTAGCTTTCTAGTTTTTTTTTATTATATTGTTTTTCCTTTTGCCTACATAAAAAAAATTATTTGTTCTCTAATTACCTCTCTTTATTGATATATGTAGCATTTTTCTATATAAATTAGATTCATGTGTTAAAAGTTTGAATCCTGATGTCATTCATTTTAATGAAAATTTTATCCAATCTTCATTTTAAATCGTTAATCTTATATTTAAACAACTAGAATTGGTTTATGATAGTGATAAAAATTTAAATAATATACACAAAATTTAAGGTTAAAAACTTGTTGTCATCATTGTAATTCATTCCGATAACAAATATCTCATATTTATGTCTTATAAAATACTCAATAGAAGAAAAATAAATTCTATTGCAAGAAGGGTTGGGGTGGAGACTGGAGACGCACAAATATTAAGTTATTTCTAACAATTATTATCTTACATGCACTTTTTTTTCTCAAGAATAGTCATAGTATTAGTATAAAGTATCTCTTGTCACAAATAATGACTAATTTACATTAAAAATATTGTGTATTTTTCTCCTAATATATTATATTTCATACCTAAAATTAAGACTATGAATAATTTAATTAAAGAATACAAATTGTTATACATATAAAATAGATATTTTCTTCCTAATATAATATATATATTTTATACTTAAAGTTAAAACTTGAATAATTTAATTAAAAAATACAAATTATTATTACTTGTGAATATTAATTTGTATAGCTTGTTAGTAAAGACATACACATTTTGTTTTTGTATTCTTTTCCATAGAACAACTGTGAAAGATTTTATTTTATTTACTTATCTTAATGACTTAATGCATGATGGTAAAATAAAAAGTCCTTTCTAATCTTATTTAATATCCATTAATTGTAATTTAAAAGCTTTAAATAAAAGATTCCGAAAACAATTTGATTCTTGTCTCATGCTATAATCATTGAGATTTTTACCATGTTTAGATAGGTGAAAAAGAAAAGGAAGGATAAAATAATTATATTTCTATTTTCTCCAGTTCTTTATCCAAATAAGTAAAATATTCCCTTTTCATTTTTAATTTCTATTAATTAACTTTTTATTTCAAATCAATCACGTAAAACGTATTTATAGCATTAATATGGAAAAAAATTGCGTAGACAACTTTTAATGAATAAAAGATATTTAACAAGTAGAATGTAGAGTGGATGAATTCGATATAATAATTCAAAAAATATCAATACATTTTTTACTATTTTATTTATATATGTACTTATCACGTTTGATTAATTTTATTGATTGACATTGCGTGACTTGATATGGTTTTTACCGTAATTTTTGTTGTTTTAACAGTGCAGTGGCAGTGCCAAAAATTAGGGTAGGGTCTAACATGGCATGAATTTTGATTGATTTTTAATTGTTTTATATAAATTTCCCCGTATTCTAAGCAGGGTGATATGATTGCGCCATGGGTTGAATGTTTTACTTTTCCAGAACAAAAGTCAGTCAAAGTGATTATTTGTCAAAAATTGTAGAATGTGTCCATCAACGTTATACATACACATTATTGCTTTTCTAAATTATAATGGAAAAAATATATAATAGGTTTTTAAATCACATCATATAAAGTCCTTTGTGTCTTGCAATTTCTTCTTTCTTCCTCACAACTCATAACCTTGCTTTTCATTTTAACTTCTCTCAAAAACGAGCCTTTTATAATGTATAAATAAATAATTAAAGCAAAATAATTGTCTTAAAATCAGCATTTATAATATTGGTTTTGCATGCCTCAAAGGGGTAATTATTTGGTTTTAATACAATTATTATTAATTTTAGCCATCAATATATCCGTTGAAATTAAAATATAAAAAAAACGTGCACACACAAATTTTGTGTGGCTTTAACATCACTAATTATTTGAAGTTTCTATCTTTCTATGTTTGTTTTTTTCAACGAAAGTTGCTAAATTTGTTTTCTTTGTAATATTTTTATCATATTATTAGTATAAAGTTTGTACTATCTATGACTAATATTTGTTAAAGAAATTTAACTAACACTTTTAGTTAAAATTTTATTTTCAACTATACATTTTTTCATATAAAAAACTTAAACTTAAAGTATTATTTAGAGATTCTATTTAGATTAATGCTATGCTATTTTTTCCTTCTCACATCTAATTCTAATATTTTTTTTCTTCTTATTTACTGGCTATATATATACTAATTTTGCTAATGTCTAATTATTGTGAGAAAATCTGATTAATCATCTGTCTTCTATTTCCCTTAAAAAAATTGTCTTCTATTTCAATCACATTCTTTTAACTTCATAACACTCCAAATAAAATATTGGTTAAAATTCGAGATTAGTTTCAGTGGAATCAACGTAATGTTGATATATTTAACTCTAATGTAAAATGAGCTAATTAATTTATGAATATAATTGAAAGAAGGGAAAAGAAAAATGAAGTTTTGGTAGGGACAAAATGTATATAGCGAAGAGCTGGGGTATGTAAAAACAAATGTAGCATGTTAGAGCAAAAAAGGAAAAAGACGCAATTAAAGGCGCTAATAAATCTGAGTGGAGGTGGTGGAATTAGGTGACAAGGGCTAGCTAGGATTATTCTAAAATGTAAACAAAAAAGGGTTAGTGCAAAGCTGTCCCTGGAAGGAAGTAGTAGTATAATCAATTGGTAATAAAATATGATTGCATATAAAGCAAAGAAAAAAATAAAGTAGAGGTGATGGGAGAAAAAGAAAAAGAGGGCACATTTTGGTAATACTTCCCCTCCTTTATCTCTCTTTAGCTTTATTTTTATTTAAAGAAAGTTGAGTGATGAGGAATCCATGTCCTCCAAGCACTCCCAGACAAAATGAGCTTCAGAGCACACTTAGCTTTACGACCCAGAAAAGGAGATTTCAAACAACATAAGGCTAGCTTAGGAAATTGCGTGGTTAGTAACCCAACCCAACACAACACAACCCTTTCTCTCTCTTTCTCATACCTAAGGTAGCTCCTTGTGTTTCTGTCTATATTTAGTGGGGGAGCTTGGGTTCAGGGTGCAACCATAACCCCACATCTTCCTCCTTTCCCTCTCAAAACCACACTATTATTAGCCACACCTTAATCCTCCTACCTTTAGCCCACTGGTTTGCTTCTTTTATGCCAATTCAGTAGGGTTTTGTGGGGCTTTCAAACCCCATTTGATTATGACTTAGTTCATTCCATCCCTCTCTAGATCTCCCTCCCCCCCCTCCCCCCCAACCCTCCTTATATACCCTCCATCCATCCCCTTCACTCTTGCTCTCAACTACTCTCCCTACTCCCCTCCCCAACACACAATTCTCTTTTTGTCCCTTTCTCCACCTTCATCTTCCCCATCAACTACCTACCTAGGTTTTTTCATCATCTTAACCATATATATACTTGCACACTCCATGCCCTTGTAATATATCTACATGTATCTCCACAACATAACAAACAACTATTATCACATACTCATGCATCATACACAACTTCTATAACCTTAGGCTTTGTTGAGGGTAATTAGGAAAATTTTCTTTTGTACATATGTATATGCGTTTAACTATACACTCACCCCTCATGCATCTTGGTGATTGATTGTATATTTATGTCGCATCATGCATACATATGTGTATGTGCCTGGCTCCCTGTATGCCATTTGCAGAGCTCATCGAAGTATCAATGACCTCCGTGGATGGCGTATGAGGAGCCAAGCATATTCCATGTACATACATGGAGATGATCATGATCAAATTTTAAGTTTATGTGGGTAAAGGAGTGTAAATATAAGGCTTGTCTATGTTTGATAATTCTAAAAGTTTTCTTATTAATTGTACCGACTATTGAAGGTCATATATACAGTTATTCAACAAAGCACGGCATTGTCATTTTCAAAGGCACAGGTTGTGTTTCCTCAGGCTGAACAAAGGTACATTTTTTTATCTTCCCTTTTCATCATGTCAAAAATTTTGAATCGAAGAAATTTTTCTAGGGTTCTTGCGAGTGATGCATGATATGTGATCTGCAGAGTGTTAACTGGGGGAACATATTCCCTCATTTACCAGCTGGGGGCTCACATGTGGGCGTGTTTTTTTTTTTCCTTTTCTTTTCTTTTGTTTTCTTCAATTTGATAATCATTTCACTACGCTTGAAACGAAGACATGGGAAAACAGCAAGAAGCCCAAGTTACCGTAAATTAGAACTATTCCTGACAATTAACATGGAAGTTAACAAATTTTTACTCACTGCCCTTTTCTCACCCTTCTTGTTACCATGCTTGTCTGTCTCATGGACATTTCATATGACCTCTGATTATACCAACAATAGCCTAAAAAGAAGCAATACTGTGTCATACATACAGTCATTTATTGGTATTATTATTTTATTTTATTTTATTCAAACATTAGTTAGCCATTAAAAAATATTTATATGCGGATGTGATTTGCTTTTTTTTTTTTTGTATGTGTGTGTGTGGCGTGTGTCAGGATAACATTGTTAGCAGCTTTGAAATTTATTTATTCCTTTATTTGGGTTAATCTCATAATATTTCCATTTGAAATATGACTCTTTGTTTTAACAAGAGCTTAAAAGTAAGCAATATTTTACCATAGCATGATCATTGTCCTTTGGAAGAGCGATTTCATATTTTATTCATATTTTTCGGGGGGTAAATCCCTTATTTTTAGTTTCCTAAACATAGGGACGTTTATGACTTTTCAGTATATTTAATGGTACGCAATTAGTCCTACATGAAATCAGTGCGTTTATTGAATTAATAAACTGTCATTTACAACTTATTTTTCATAGAAACTTGACTCATATAACCTACGTACGATTAACTAACTATAGGATAAAATGAAGAAACATTGTGTTATAACCTATAAAGCAACAAATTTAATATGCTTTCTACCAGCGTATAGTAAGAAGTAAGATCGAAAATATTTTATGGTTCGCTGGTCATTATTCATGATCAATAGTATTGTTTTGCAACAGTAATTTATTCCAAGATATATACTTTTTACCCGCTCAAACATCGAAAACCAATTGATAAAACCTTTGGAGTTGTAGCTAGCTCATCTTTCATACATAGTAAGAACGAATAGATTTTACGGTTAATTGGTGATTTGCATGATCAACATTGTTTTGCAACAGTAGTTTATGTATTTATTTAGTTCTTACATACTTTTTACCCGCTCAAACATTGGTCACCAATTTAATGAACCCTTTGGAGTTACGAGAAGACAATGTATATTATATGCTTGTAAGTAGAATCTGGATTAAAGAAGAGGGTGTTAACTATTTCAAACCAAATGTAGTAACGATATTTTATTTCTTAACCCGGTTGCTCAACTTGACAAATATTTAATCATATATGTATAGTATATAGTAAGATATTGAGTCTAAGAAGAAGCATGTATGAATGTGTTGGTGGTATCCAGAATGGGTATGAATGAGTAGCAGAAGAGAGGTATTAAAATTATTCTAGTTGCTTAGGCTGATGTGTGTAATATATTAATGGTGTAGGCATGTAGGTATAAGAGAGAAGAAGTGAATTTGAATTAAGCTTAGGTAGGTGGTCTGTTAAAAACACACGCATGTCTGGGCAGGGGTTGAAGAAAGTAAAAAAGGGAAGGATCCTGGGAAAAGTAAAAGCATGATTGTAGTTGTAGCAGCTGAAGGATTATGATTATAGCCACTGGGGAATCTCATACATACAAAAAGGAATGGACCACACACTCTCTCTCTAGTTTCAATTGGTTTGCAGGGAATATGGTATACGGTCAAAGCAGGTCAAAAGCTTGCCAATAGGACATTATTCCTCACCCTATTGTGGGACCACCCACACCCTAACACCTCCTGGGGAAATCAATTCTCGGATTTTGTGTTTTTCTTCCTTCAACCATTTCACTGCACTATTATAACTTATAACCATTGCAATCAAACCAATATTTTCATTCTAATTTCAAAAACAGAAAACATCATTTTATGTCCAATTAAATCTTCTTTTCCATTATTAATTTGTAACTTTTTTACTCATCTAAACTACAGACTTAGTGTATACTATTCACATTTCAACATTAGACCAACTTTATTGATTTTAACAATTCGAAAAAGTAATTATAAGTACATTAATTAGGAAACTAATTAAAATAAAGCATATTGAACCTTAATTTACTTAACCAATGTTGTTGGGTGGTTGATCTTGATCATGTGAAAGATTAGGGAAACTTAGGTAAGGTATGGCAAGTGCAAAGTAACCTGCAGTTATATTGGAGAAAGAAAGAGATGGAGAGAGAGAATAAAATTATTAGAGTAATCATATGATGTAAGGTGCTGGCTAGGCCCGGTTCCTCAGTGTTTGATGCCTCTGCTGGCAGATTAATTGTACTCGTCAAGTCTGAGAAAGTAGATTCTATACTATTCCTGTCTCACTTTCTCCATGGGAATATCATTTGCTTTTTTTATATCTAAGGATCGATTTCACTTTCTATGATTCTCCTCACTTTCTTTCCTACCCTTAAGGTGAAAATTTTTCTAAGTTTTTTGTCAGTTCAACCACTCAAATGAATCACATGATTTTATGAACCACAACACACACCTTTCCGTTTTAATCTAGATATTGTTTCACGTTGGATAAGCTAGAATGATATGCACAACAAATTAAGCATGTGCATTAATTTTGAATTTAATTTCCTCATGATATGTTTTCTCTTCAATTCTTTCGCAGTTTGGAGAAGCATTATTATATTCTGCTAATTGTTGTTGCCTTTTAATTAAATAGGCAATTAAGATGATTGTGCAGAAAAAGGGTTGAGTAAATTGTTGAACTAGAAAATATATATGCGTCATGCATGATGCTGAAAACTCTCCAGATATGGAAAAAATTGTAAGATTCTTCACTGCTATATGCAAACTGCAGTGTCTGGCTTGCTGTCTTGTTGTGTAGGGGAGTATCATTATGTTGCTAGCTGAATGGTATAAGACTCTTCCAGATTCTTTCTTTTCTTTTTTCAAGCAAACAGATCAAATGGACAAAAGCACCAAGAGATTTATCAACTCTAAGCTTCAAGCAATTCACCCCACACATAGCGTGTCAAATTATCATGTGTATCTTTGGGAGCCAAATATTGCAATTTTAGGACTCATTATAATGAAATATTGAAACAACATATATATTGTTCATCAGGTTTTCTTAATATTTAGTTATTCCAATAACTGACTAAATGAATATATGTAAATAAATGAAAAAAAGGGTTATATATATAATGCTCAAATTTAAACTCCAGATGTGCAATTAAAGAAATTATTTATTTTAATAAATATACATATGGATAGGTTGTGTCATCTTAATTAGGGTTTGAGAAAAAAAATGAAAACATGGGAATATTTTTATGATTATTTATAGATAATAGAAATATTTTCTCAAACCAATAGGTTACCGTACAAGAAATATGTATGAGAATATACATAAAGTGACTTGTCAAAAGCTTATAATAAAAAAAAATGTCTGATCATATCTATTAAATAAACTAGGTTAAAGCTTTTTAACAGAAGAAAAAAAAAACTAAATAAAAGTAATAGATTTTAAGCAATTTAAAAACCTTTTTGACCTAAAAGGTTGGCCTACTTGAACGAATATATCGCTCTTTTTTTACTGTAGGATCTTAAAATTATATATTTGTGTGGATTGTTTGAAATTTTAGGTGCATTGACTTATATAAATATTCAGTAAGTGTGATATAATTTACTTAAAAAATATAAAATAAGTTTTCAAATCAAGTTACTCCTTAAGAAATATTAATATTTTTTTAACGTTAGAAAAAACTTGTTTCCTTTTGTGTGATTGTTTTAATTACAAATTATTTTGGAGAGACGAAAAAAAAGACACGAAGTATAGTGTAGTATATATATATATAAACTTAGTTCATCCCAAGTAATATAAATATTTAAAAAGTACATTTTATAATTTTACATTTTAAATAACAATTCATTTACATTATCATAAAATTTCAAATAGCGTCAAACTACTAGTATTTCATTGATTACTCTCTTTGAGTTGAAGAATGCTAAAACTTTGTAAGAGTATAATTATACGAATATACTCATTTTTTTTATTCTATTTCCTTTCAGTTCATTTTCTTTTTATATTATTCTTTTAATTTATGGATATTTCTTTATATAAGAAGGAAAGATACATTCATTACATGATAATCATTACACGATAAACCATTACATAATCCTGAAATTATTTGTAATAAAAAGTTGTTCTACCAATCATGAATTTGTTTATAAAATAGAAAATTATGGATATTTCAATAGAGAAAAAAAAGGCAAAACAAATGTACCATGCATATCGAAGAAACACACTTGTTTTGTGGGAGAGGTTCAAATAATAATTTTTTATAGCATTACTTTTTAGTTTTTTATTTATCTTTTATTACAAGATTTCATATTTTTTTATCTTTTTTATTTCTATTACGATGGTAAAAAAATCGTATTAAAATAACTTTTCAATATTAAGAATACTATATATGTGTTAATAATTGGATAGAGACAACAGAGAGAATTTTTCACTAAAAAAAAATACTACAGAGAGAAGCTGACTTTTTATATATATATATATATGTTTATCCTATTTATTGTTAAAAACTGTGATATTGTGGTGTCTCTGCTATTTGTTATTTGTCTTGTTTTAGGAAGAGACATGAAACTGATGCACAAGGGAGCCCTGATAGGCAAGTGTCACCTCACTCTTAGTTGTCATCTGCTGCATATGTTTTTAGCCTTTATTAATACATCGTTTTTTAGATTCATTTAAATATATTTTGTTATTTTTATTTATTTATCTACTTTATATCAAGCAATATGTGATCTGTTCGGATCCAATGTGAAATTTAAGAAAAGAAAAACATGTTTGGTTATTTATTATAAATCTATTTTAATGATAGAAAACTTTGGCACATAAATAATTTCACTTTTAAATTATATATTACTAAATTAATTTTATAAAATGAAATTCACTCAAAACTAATTAAGTTAGTAAACAGTAACAACATAACGGGAATGACATGGTATGACTATGAAAGAATCATGTGTACGACATAAATAACCTGTGTATGATAGGTTTGTCAAATGGATAGAATATATAACAGTAGGTTGATGTGATGGTTTATAATAATCTATACAAAACTTGTTGACCATAATTATAATGTTTTCCACAAACAAAAGCTGAGATACGGACTTTGTAATGGTATCATGATTTTTCGTAACGGACATGCATATATTCCAGTTGCTGAATAGTTAGGAATTCAATTTCAAATTTAAATCGATCACTTGTTATATTTAAACTCGATTACTGTAAGAATATAGTGTGTGTGATTACAGGCATTAATATCGAAAACTTTTAAATACAACAAAATACACTCTACGTGTACTGTGAAATTTTTTTAAAATGAATTTAATATAGGGTGAATTTGTATATACTAATCTTTTTGCAAATTATTCTTTTCCATCTTTATCTTTAAACTGAATTCCAATGTTTTTTTTATAAAGAATTTATCAATATTTAAAAATAATATCTTGTTTATTTATAGTTATCCAGTACAGTCTATATGCAGATTGAAATATTGGGTTTCCAAATAATCATGACACCATTTTTGCAACGGAACTAAATGACATTTTATAGGGCCACGAAGATTTGTTGCTCCTCCCCAAAGAAAACTTGAGTGGACACAACATAGGATCACCACAAATGGAGGATAATAAAAAATCCCTTTCAAAGGGTTGAGTTTGCAACTTAATTCTATTATTCAAAGTATGGTGTGGTAACATTTGCATAATTGCATTCAACTTTGTTCATTTCTGTGAGCTCATTAATAATAGTTTCAAGTATAATTGTGGCAATTGAACTTATTTATTACATTCATCAATTCAATTCGATTTATAGTATAAAAAATAAAAAAATTAAATAAAAAAAAGCTTGATTCCACATATGGATTAACACTTAAATTAAAAAAAAATAAAAATAAAAAAAAATTATTAAATTTTATAAAAAAATTATTATAATCTTATATCTTAAAATTACGATTATATTAATAATAAAATAAAAAATAAAAAATAAAATAGATATAATCACAACCAACTTAATCAACTTATAATATATTAAATAATATCAAAGTTATTACATAAGATATCGATAAATAATATCAAATTGATACTAATTATCATAACTTAACTAGTACGTAAAAAAATAATTAATTATATAAATATATAATCACATAAATTAATCTGAAAACCTAAAAAGTAAAAATAATAAATTTATTAAGTAGTTTAATTCATGAGCCAACCTGGCTCATCACAGGTTGACTCGTGACAAGTTGAGTTAAATTTTTCTTATAATTGAAATGTGCTAATTTGTGCTGACCCAACTCAACTCCAACTTGTGATTGGTCAAATTGACTCACAGATTTTAACACATTCTAACGACTCTAATTTCAACATATACTTTATCAATAAGAGTTGGATCTAATAAAAGGACCGGTAATATGATATTTGAATCTTTATCAAAGAAAGTATTTATATTTAGAATGTGATTGTAGCTCATAATAACATTATTTCTAAACAAAAATATATTTAAGAAACAAAAAAAAAACTTAATTATATTTATTATTATTATTATTTATGGATAAAGTAAGCTCATTTTATTAATAAGTGATTAGTTTAAATATTATTATTTAATTTTTTAAAGTAAAATTTTGAATTTGAATCATATATGTAAAAGCAAAATAATTATAAACAAAACATGTATTGATAATAAAAAGGTATTTTACGTTGTTATTCATTATTAAGCACATATATGATTTAGTTAATATAGATTTTTTTCAACTTAATTAATAAATGAGTTTGAGTCTTAAATATATAATTATGAGAAAATTTTATCTATACTAATATATAAAGAGATACTTTTAGTAACTATTTTAGTCTCTATATTTTATTGACTATTATACCTTTTTGTTTCAAAAAAATTTTAAAAATTATTTTTTATCAAATTCAAGAACTTGAAATTAATAGACTAATCATAATATTAGTTAAATCAACATATTTTTAAAGTTTAAGTCTCATTTTATTTGGCATTTCAGGCCATTAATCCTATTTTGTCTCCTCTAATTTTAATTACTCCAATAGTTAAATACAGTAAATAACAGCCTACAGTTTCAAACGAATTTTAACTACGATATCAAAATTCAAAAATTCCACAACCACGCGTAAGAAAATACTCTGTGGAAACACTGTTAACTTCCAATCAAAATATAATTAAGTCAAATCTAACATGCCCCAATACTTTTAAAATCTGCCTCCATGTCTGACTAAATGTAGGAATCGAAATTCAAAACTTGCACCTATCCTAATATATAAATTATTTTACACATTCGTAATCAATCATGTGCATTTACCAATCATCATTCTTTAGATATATACTCATCCAATATTTCAAAGCCGTAAAAGTTTCGTTTTCCAGCCATCATAATGCATTAATACACAGTACATTCTTGGTACAAACCTTTTTTTTTTTAGCATTTTTTTTCAATTATAATGCCTCGAGGTCAATGACAACTGACCATAGTATAAAGGTTAGAAAAGAAAATAATTAACGTCGCAAACTAAGGAGCCAATCACTGCAGTTAAATAAGTCTTTGCAAACTAATTCAAGATGAATAAAATTGCGTCAGTATCCTAAACTAAAGGATGCAGTATAGGTATCGGCAAAACGTGAAAAGCCTAACTCGACACATTATTTTGGAGTTCTGCAAGTATAAACCAGAATAATATGACTTTGAAGTGTTATTTCCCCTCTTCTAAAATTATCTGACCTGACCTGACCATCATCTACCTATAACTACATACCTTGTTCAGCCAACCTAAGACTTGGAAAATGTTAACTGATCTAATCAGTCCAATTCCAATTCTAGATAATAAAATTTCCTATCCCGCTATAATTCTTCCCATGGAAAAGAATGAATGCTAGAAGTCCACAACTCCCTTATTCTTCTGTTGATGGCTAAAATTGGTTCAGAATGGGCTTGACGCTTTAGACGATAATACTTTAAAAGTATTCATCTTTAAAAGTGCCATTGCCATTTTTAAACATGTTATCATGCCGTTTTTTCGTGTGGAGCGAAGTCCATGATTAATTGAACAATATAATAGTGCATTATGATCATAAGATGTTTTATAATTTTTATCATACCCATGAAATGCTTCTATGTTCTTCAAATTCTTCACTTCGTTCATAACTTTAATAGTGGATTAATATGAACAAGATAGGATTCCTGAGGTGGACTGGACATTTCCTAATATGTACTGGGTAAGCATTAGTATCAAAAAGTTTTTTAAGCAAAAGCTTTCTCTTAAGCATTTTGATTATAATTAACTAGCACAGACACGGTCTCGTTACCACCAAACGAATTCAGCTTTAGAGCTAACCCACAGTGTTGAAGGAGAATCAGAGTCATGCAATTTCTCCTGCTCTATCCTTCCAAGCGATGACAATACCACTTTCATTTCAAATACACAGCCGTCTAAACAAATAGATACCTCAGTGGTGCAGCAACATAATATAGCAGAAACCAGGCAGAAAGAATATTAATTAACAAAAGGTCACCAATTTCACTAGGAAATTAATGAATACAATGGAAACACCGGGAATTCATTCAACTAGCATTGTAGTAAAGAAAAACCTGAAGTGTAACCTAGCAAGCCTAAAGTGTAGTCAATTTATGTTTGCATAAATATTACTTGTATAATTCATCTATATGCTTCTATTAAAAAAAACAAAAACAAAAAACCCACCTGTTTGAAAAGAAAACCAACTGATTTCTAACCCTAAAACAATTGAATATTGCTAAGCTATACTACAACATTCTTTACTATTCTACGGAAGTGTGAAACTAGTGTGATGAAATGAATCGTATTGTTTATAACCTTGAGCTCTAATCAAAATGCATCACAGCCCTTGTTGGGGCTTTTGTTTTCAAGACCATCTCTTCATACTCATCTTCAGGGTTTGACAGAGCAACAATTGCCCCTCCAGCTCCAATTGAAGCTTCACCGTCATGTATTATGACTGTTCTTATGACAATATTTAAATCAAATGTCTGATTATACGAGAAAAAGCCAATACAGCCTGAGTAGATACCTCGAGAACAACTTTCAATAGAATCAAGAATTTCCATTGACCTCAACTTAGGTGCACCTGTCATTGAACCACCGGGAAATGCAGCTTTGACACAGTCTACAGCACTGACATCTGACCGCTTCTTCCCACGAATTGTACTCACCATTGTGTGAACAGTTGCATATGATTCCACATCCATGAGATGCGGCACATGAACAGATCCAGGATCACAGACACGACCAAGGTCATTCCTTAGAAGGTCAACAATCATCAGGTTTTCAGCCTGGTCCTTTTCGCTGAAAGTGAAAGCAAGTTAGTTCACAAAAAGATTCACCCAACTGAATCTCATTAGAGTGCTTTGCTTTATCAACATGTTACAATTCTTAATATTGAATATTTGTACCAGTTCTGTGAGAGAAAAGCCCATTAGAAATTGGACCCCAAATTCTCCTAAACATCTAGACTCTAGATAATAGATTCATAACTAACTTCACAATTATATTTGCAATCAACTAGGAGTATCACGCATTTCAATGAGGCTTGATAGTGTGTCCAAATTATCAAATAATTAAATGTACTTGGAATTTAATGCATCACATTAAAACGTCCTAATAGAAGTAATTAAAAAATTTAAACTCAATTGGTAGAAACATTTGTTAAGATAGTGGTATAGAAATAAATATAAGTCACCTGAACTGTAATTTTAATTTGAGTTGCTCATCTTCCTCTTTGGTAGCACCACGAGCTATTGTACCCTTGATGGGCTTAGCTTCTAGTATATTGTTCCTATCCAACTGCAGGAACCTCTCAGGAGATGAACAGCAAATATACAGATCCTCCTTTGAAAAATTAAGCCAAGCAGCATAAGGTGCTGGATTCCTTTCTCTCAAATGCAGATAAAGTCCAAGAGAATTCAATTTTGCAATTGGTTTCCTTATCTGAGTTGTAAGGCATAACTCATAACTTTCTCCATCTTTAATGTAGTTTAGACACTTCTTAACATCCTCAATGTACTGCCCTCTAGATTTTTCAGCTGCAAAATCAGCCTTACATGAGGAAGAAGTCAGAGGATGAGAGTTCTGTCTTTCCAAAGACATTCTCACAGAGCCATTTAAGCTGAGAAGTTTGTCCTGTGTGTCATCCAACCACTGTGAAATACTTGAACTTTCTTCACGTATAGCCAATATATAAACATCGTCATTTTTGTGGTCAATAGCCACAAGATTATCAGCAAAGAAAAAACATGCATCTGGAGTTTTAGATTTGTGACGGTTAGATGTGACACCACATTCAACTTTGAGGTCATACCTGCAACACAAGAAACCAATTATTTGTCAGGTATTGGTTCATTAAAGAGATCACGTTGAAATTTCAGGGTTTTAGATGTTGAAGGAGGAAATTTAGAGAATACAGAATTAATACAAAACCTATAACATTAATCTCTATTTGTACCAATACTAAACCATAAAATCCTAACTTAATAAGAAAACAGATCACAAGATGATAAAAAAACATAAAAACTAATTCTAAGAGATGATCTAAGATACTTTAAATTATTATAATATATAATCACTGTTCTATTGGATACTTTTCAAATATATTCCATTTCTAACACTTCCTCTAGTTAAAGCTTACTAACCTTGTCACAAATAAATAAAGCTTTTAAAAAATAATAAGGGCTCCACTTATCATGACTGGAATTGTCATCATCCTGGGACTAAAAAATGACAAGGCACTGCATATTATATATATAGGACTGAAGACTAGCAAAACGGAGGTGCCTAGGACCAACATCAACAAGGTCAAAGCATCTAGGATTGAAGACTCGTGGAGCTAGAATATCTGGCACAAACACGGGCTAGTGCCTAGCTCACATCTAGGACAAACACAAGCAAGCCCCAACCATGTCGAGGACTAAGTTTAAGGGCAGACCATGTCTAGGACAATGCATTTAGGACCAAAAAAAATAGCAGGGCCCATAATTAGTGATGATATGCGGCAGCAGAATAGTAACAAGGCAAGTTACGAAAGATGATACCACTCTAATACTATGCTGAAATTTAAGGTTTTAAATATTGAAGAAACTTAGAGAATAAAGACTAAATTTACTAACATTAATATTAAGATATGATGTGTTACATTACATGCGATACAAAACATAAAGCTGGAGCACTTATTTATATTAATAATGAATTATAATCCTAATTAAATAAGGAAACAAATCAAAAGATAATAAAGAAATATTAAAATAATTCTAATTTCTAAGAGATAATGTAAGATACGCTAAATTATTCTTAAGATAGAATCAATATACTATTAGATATATTTTTCATATATTCTAGCAGAAATTTCATATAATAACATCATGCAAGTAATCATAGTTAGCAAGAAGGATGGGACGGGTAACATCCTAAATATCAAAATGAAGATCCACAACATTTCAAACAAAAAGGTAAATGCAGGGTTGTCATACTATCACAAATAGTGGTGATTATCTAACTTAATATAAGATAAAACAAACAATATAAAAGGAGAGAAAGAAGGGAGGACGAGAAAGAGTAGCTATACCCACAAAACAGAAGTAAAAGCTTCATAAGTAAAAAGATACAATTATAAAACCATGCAATTGATGTTGACATATGTTTAAGCATTTAGGTTGATTCAATGGAGATTGGAGACATATAAATGCTTGACTTTACCACCTACCCGATATAACCAACATATCCACCGTGAAAGTCAAAAGGCAGGCCTTCATAATCATTTTTATCGTAACGATATGATTGAAGCTCCTGCAATATTATGAAGGCAACATTTTAATGTGGGAGAAAGGAATAAAAGGGAAAAAATATTAAATATATTTAACTATTCTTGTTACTTGTTAGGAAAATGAATATAAGGTCTATCATAATTGGGAAGATCCAAGTATTTTAGGAAATAATTTAAATATGCACCAAGAAAATGTATACATGATGGAGGTTCAATACACATAAAATTAAACTTCACTGATATCTTAACCCCGTAAAGTTTATTCTGAATCCTACCCCACCCTCTTTCATTTCTTAACTTCATCTCCGATCAAAGCATAAAACATTCCAAGTGATAAATGGCATTGCATTGGCCTAAAGAGAATGGGCAATAAGGATCGTTTATGTATGTATCAGAATATTTGTTCTGCTAGCATACGTCCAGTTTAGGATAAACCATTTTGGATTAAAAAAAATCATGAGAAAAATGGGGCAGCCAAGCTTGGGAAGGATAAGATATTCTCCAAACTATGCAAACTGGATATAACAAGTGTTAAAAATTAATTCTCTCAAAAGTTTGAGCTATTATGTAGGAGATAAATAATTATTTAATTTATTTTCTCTCTCTAAAAAGCCACTTCATGCAAAAGCCTTTCAGACTTGAAGCATCGACAAGAATAGGCCTGTTTTTACCTAGTGTAAAATAAATTTAACTACATTATAAGAATGGGGATAACAAGCATGGAACTCCTAACAAAGGTTCTAATTTCATGTCAAGGACCACTTCTCCTAGAAGCTAATTCTTCGGAAGAAGCCCATGAATGCTTTTATATCAGTTATATTAGTTATATGTGTAACAATAAGGTATATCCTAGTTGAGGAGTGTGATATGCAAGAATAAAGCATCATATTTCCAACACAATTTCAGTCTATACCTTGTTCAAAAAATCAAGAAAACCTTCTTCCAAGAATATTGTTTCAGCAGAACCTTGAGAATCTTCCATTGACAAATAACCACCGCATTTTGAACTCCTGTCACTGGAAAAAGGTTTAGTATGAAAGAAATAATTTGTTATCATGTCCATGCGTCAATAAAGATAATAATACTCAACTTATAAAGCATATAAATACAATATAACACAAGTAGACCAACTATTTTGAAGAAGCCCATTCACCAACACCTCACATAAAATAACATAAATAAAAAGGAAAATAATCTAAAACATAAAAGAGAATTGAAAAAATAAAAGAAATTAAAATTAACAGTTAAGAGGGTTGATTTCAAACCTTTGATGAGACAATCTGAACGTTAATTGCTTCCAAAGTGGTCCACCTTTTCCTCCCATAAATGAAAACCGTGCTCTTCCCTAATTATAATGTGAAGAATATATTAACAAATATAGGATTATAAGTAGCACATATCAAAGCACTTTATCTTATGAAAAGATACTATGTAGATCAATGATTATAGTTTAAAGAGATTCAAATTATAAAAGATCAATTTGCGTATTATAAAAACAGATCATAAATGGGTTTGTGATAACAAAAGGTGTCTTCAGCTTCTGTTTAGATCATCAAAGATTACAAAACTTGAGCGCATACCTTCTCTGTGGAGGAGCTATCCAACCAAAAGGTGTTTTTAGCTTCATGTCCAAACAACCCATAGAATATACATTTTGCTCCACCAACCTGACCAGCCAAGTGACCAAGTTTCCTCCATTTCAACTTCAAACATTTATAGCCAGTGTTTGCAGGATGATTATTTACCATGTTGAACATTTCTAAATGCTTCATCTCAACTTTATTATATTCCAAATGTCTATTTGCATGAATTACTTTTTTTAACTGATCCACTGTATTATTCTCTGCACTAACACTTCTACAAACCTCTCTGTAGAGTCTATTAGCAATTGAAACCTGCATGCATGCTAAAGAAGGTTTACTGCTCGGGAAAATTACAGAGAACTAACATATATATTTGAAGGCCAATGAAAATTGAGAACAAAGTTACAAAACTGTGGAGCATGTAAACAATGTTAAAAGGATCTTTATCCCAGTTCAGGAACAAAGACTGGGATACAAGATACAACTTAATATTTGTTTCAGACCATTTCTTTCTCAAAAATAGAAAGAAAAAAAAGTAATAAACAGAAAATGCAAAGTGGCATCCTTAATAACTAAGCAAACATAACTCCCAAATTAATTTCCAGACAGTAACTCCCTTTATTCTTTATTATAAGTCACTTTTAACTAATTCACAAAGAAAGTTCATTAAATTAATTTATAGTGTTGAATTAGCAAAATTAATCTTAACTTTTCAAAATTACCCTTAAAAATTAACCAATTCTATTAATTTCTTTCTCCACCTTAATCATACTTTTAACCCTACTCACTAAATAATGATTTTCCTTTTCTGAAAAAATATTCTTCTCTTAATACTTTTTCAATTAAAAAAAATATTTTCAATAAAAAATTTCATTCAAACCCGAAAATCTGAAGTTTTGGCTCCCAACAAGAAAAGGGAACTTCAATAGACTACAATAATTGTTGATACATCCCACCATTATTGGAAAAGTTGAAAAACTAATAGTAAAGTGTGGAGTTATTAAAGATGATGCAATTAGATATTAAGGGTTGACTTGAAAAAAAATAATATATTTAATGCTTCGTAGTTTTGTAAAATGACTTGTATATAAGAACAACAAAAGAATATGGCTTATACATAATAAGGAACAAAGGCAGTAATTTGACATGCATTTACAACAGATGGAATGAATCTTAATAACAAAGTTCTTCAGTTTACCATCAGCACGTGCATGTTTTTCCTTGTATGATAGCTTAAATCTCATTCTCAGCCAATAATCTTCTGTAATCTCTCTAAAATTCTTGAATATTTGACTTCCATGGCAGGTAGCAACACTCTCTGGATGAAACTGAAGGTCCAAAATTGTTGAGTTGAACGTATTTAACAAATAATAAATAAATATACACACAAAAGAAATAGTATAGGCAGATCATTTATGCACTTAACACCTGCACACCATAGTGTGGTCTTGTAGAATGCCTGATTCCCATAAGAACTCTTGCACTTCTAGTTTTTTCATAATCAAAATGGTTTGAACTTCCATTTCCTACTTTATCTATAAAAGGATCAATGAAAATGCTTTGATCTGTCTGAGCTTCGTGAGTATTGGACTTGCCAGAATCTTTGGACCCAACATATGGAAGTGTGTTAGTGGAAGAAGTCCATGCTATTGGAATGAGCTCTTCAGGAAGTGATTCAGAATCTATAACAAGTGAATGATATCGAACCACCTGAAATATTTGACAGACAACAATTATGACTAGGATGATAGAATTTGACTCTTCTAAAGTGAGGGGTGCACTTTAAAGGAAGAAGTGCACTCGTAAACATTGATCAGAAAATCAACAATTAAAAATTATGATAATATCAAATGCATATATAATAAAATCTAAAATTAATTATAATATCAACAGTTGATTTTTTAATTAATGGTTATTATTGTACTTTGTTCTCTAAAGTGCAATCCCTGAATCTAGAGAAGCCAAATCCAGGATGGTAAATAAGATACTTTTAAATTAAATTTTGACAAAAAATATAACAGGAAATAATTCAATAAGCAAACATATTTGCAAGAGAGCAGTTTGCATTTTATAATTTTAGATGAAGGATTGTGTCACTGCATCAATCTTTTCAGATAGTATCTACTAGTCACAAAGCCAATTGTTCTGAAATACAAATTACAGAAATGGACTACAATAAAGGGATTTTGGTTTGGTTGGACAAGGATAATTTTGGTAAAATGGCCAAGGTTACTATGAATGTGTAATAGTACCAAACAATCAAACATTCATAACAACACCAAACATTACTAAAAATGACTTTGAAGGATCCAAATTTGTATTCTTTCAAATATATAGCAGTGAACAAACCTTGAAACCATAATTTCTACCAGAAGGTATATCCCGAAAAAGCTGGCAGCCATTGTGCTCAACTTCACTGTGAAATACAAAGAGATGGTTAAAACAAGGGCAGAGGAATGGATAAGATGCCTTTAAATGATATTTTTGTTTTAGGCATTTTTATTTTCCTGAATGTTGCAATTTAATAAGTACTGAAAAACAACATGCGGTTTTGAAATGTTTAACCTTACCTCAAACGTCCATGGATTGGTTCAGATGCATGGACAATTTGAGCTCCATGCACATAACCTAATGCCTATCAAATCATAGATTAACCAATTAAACATGAACATAATTAAACAACAGTATGATTATGTCAGGCAGAAGTATGACATCTGATATTATTATCAAAAGGATGAATGACAACAGGATTAAGTTTAATATAATACTTGATAGCAGCCATAATGAAAACATCAAGCATACAGTAAAACTACATAATGAGAAGCCTTTATGAATAAGTTCATAGTCAATATCGGGCATTTGTAAACAAGATTTTCTCCACCATATTATCAAACCATTGACTAACATATACAGCTAGTACATATTTACTGATTTCCTGCCTTAAATTAGAGCACCATCTTAATAGAGTTAACAGAGTATTATATATCAATATATATTGGCTAAGTAAAACTACAATATTTTTCATAAATAATAAAGTATCATCTTAACATTTTTTAACCCAAATGTATGATCATCACAGTATTGTTTTCTCCATTTCCTTCTTGATTCTAGTTCTAGCGCAACAAATATTTGAATGAAATAAGATTTTTATCCCATTTCCACATAAAAATAACATTTATGAAAAAACTTATTCAATTCCAAGCTGTCCAATCCCCATTCTATCAGAAAACTTTGAATATTATTAAATGTGACATTGGAACACAATTCCAGAAGAAACAAGAGAAAGGGCAAACAGTGTGACAAACCCTACTAAGATTAAACTCCATCTGGTATATTACATCTGACTTAATGAAATAAAGTGCACTCTTTATTGGAACTTGAACATGATATTAACAGTACAAGTTTAAACATTAAATGATTAAAAGGTTTACATAATGTTCTAGAAACGAAGGAAGCATGGTTTGTTGAAGGTTTGTGCAGAAAGAAAGTGATTAAATTAAACCGGTGGGGACAACAATCTTGCAGAAAGGAGAAGAAAATACCTGGTGTCCTAGGCATACACCCAGAATAGGAATATCCCAGCATTTAAGCAATAGCTGAAGACAAATGCCTGAACCATACAGAATGATTCCAAAAAAAAAAAAAGTTAAAATAAAGAATCTACCACACTTCATGAAATAGATCAGGATAACATATCAAATTAAAAAATACTACTAAATTCTGCAAACTAAATTAGATGTCCTTTTAAAACAAATATGGGCATAGGGATACTTACAAACAATGTAGTTTGCGAGTGTTTCACTAACACAGTTATACCCTTTTCAATTGTGATAGAAATGAGAATGTTAAGGAGGATGTCTGAAGTCTGAACATATAAGACGATACAAAATTTAGAACAAATGTGTTCAGAAGAAACTTGGAGCAGCACCTTTTGAAGAGAAGATGACAAAAACTAGCCTAAAACGGTTTGGTCAAGCTAAGAACACCAATCAAGGTGCTGGTGAGAAAATAGAATCAAATGGTAGATGGTGTAATTAAAAGGAGGAAAATTAAACAAACAAAACTTTAGGATAAACAATTAAAAGCGGCCTTATCAAATTGGATCTGTTGAAAAATTTAGTTTTGATAGCACCTAATGATGTTGGTTGATCAATGTAACCAATCCCATCGGGCGCAATAAGTTTTGCTTGTTATTAAGAAGAGTTTTTCAATATTTTAACTTCTTCAAATCTGATTATGTTCCCATAGAATCTCATATATTTTGCATCTAGGTAACTGTGAATGGTGATGAAGGATCAAGTTTGATCATAAGAAATAACAGAGGTTGTCTTGTGACTCTTACATGAATTTTCTGTTAGCAGAGTTACTCTTTAACCAACTTCTTGAGCTGCATTGCCACCAGGCGTAACAGCACTCCAAAAATATAATATTTTATGGTTATAAGGGAAACACCCATAAAGGCCATAACCCAAAACGGCTGCAAGTGTAATTTTATCATTCATGAATATATCATACAATGATACAGAGGTCTTTGAATGTGATATAAACATGGACTATATATCCACACAAAACAAACTATTAGAAACGATTTAGGGAAAGAGGATTGTTCAAGCCTTACAAGTTACAAGGTGTATTTTAATTATATTCCTAGCCAATGTAGGACATCTAAACCCACTCGCCTCGCACCCAAGACATTTGGTGTGCAAAATTTGCAAGAGTGAACATAACATCTATGGGTAGCCCAACATCAAGATTGGATAAGTTCCGGTACCATATTATGATATTAGAAATGGAGTGAGCTTAACTCAAAACCCCCAAAAGCTAACATATGGAAGAAGGATTTCTCAGCCCCTACAACGAGTATTTTAGCCATATTCCAAACTAATATGGGACATTTTAACACAATTATCGACAATTATAATGGCAGCAACTTATTTCTCTGTTGCATCTTCTGGAATATTAAGTAGATGTAGTTAAAGTACCAATCCACAAGAGCATTCTATGATTCTCACCTATATCTTCTGGGCATGCTGGAGAACCAGGACCAGGTGATATTACAATGTTATCAAAAGCATTTTCTTCGTATAAGTAATGGCAAATTTCTTCCCATGTCCAATCATCATTTTGGATCACCACAGGAGGGACTGGCAAAATGACAAACCAAACCAGCTGTTAAAATGGACATCAACTCCTTACAAAACATATATTTACCAACAATGTTTTACTAATTACATCTAGACCAGCTTTATTTGAATCTACATATAATTTTTTATAACCTTAACTGAGTGATCATCCCAATGTTTGGCCATTACATCTCTACTTTGAAGGTCCCTACTGGAACCCACACTATAATGAACAGAAAGGTTTATGAAAAGAAGATGAGCTAACTCTACGTGTCTGATATCATGCATATAAACAAAAAACGGACATTATAAATTTACTCAAACATGTATCCTAAATTCCTAATGCGTTTGTGCTAAGACCCCAAAAGCTCTTATTCTCCTCAATTGATTGCTATACAAAATGGTTTACTTACTGCCTTTTTAAAACATAATAACTTTTTTTATTTTGTGCAGCTCAATGACACGACAATATTGAATTGTATATCTGTAATGTTTCACTTAGTGCAGTTTTGGATTAGAGTTTCTTTTACATAGTGTTTGGTTGGAGGGAAAGGGAGGAATTTTTTAAAATTTGTCTTGTTTGGTTCAAGTTTTAGGAGGGGAGGGGAGAAAAATCCCTCTTAACCCAATTTTAACTCCCCTCCAATATTGGAGGATTTTAAAACATTTATAGTATAATATCTTCTAAGATTTACTTACTTATGTTTTTAAATTAAAAACTATAAAGATACAAAGGTAAGTTAGTTTTTAAAATCTCTCTCCTCTCCTTGTCAACCAAATAAGAAAAGAGTTATATCTCTCCTCTCCTCAACCAAATAAAATTTCTAACTCCTCCCCTCCTTTGAACCAAACAGGCCCTTAAAAATATTTTGCTTTTTCTAAAAAAAACAAAACTCTTTCCTACAATAAGCTAATTAGTGAAAGCTTCTACAAATTAGCTTATGGATAAATTTATTTCCTTTTTTTCTTCTTATCTTTCTTTCCTTAAAGTGCTTCTGGATAAATCTAGTGGATCCTCATAAATCAACATCGTCCAATTGTTTTCTACCCACATCCCACATTCAAAAGAGAGAGAGAGAAGGAGAACATACCACCATTGATAACAGATAGCTCCTGGTATATATTATACGTGTAACTGTCATAGTTGTCAATCAACAATGTCCTCACAAAACCTGCCCTCGGTACAGACACCTGTAGCCTTTCCTTTCTTTCATACGACTCCTCGTTGTGGCTATGCATCAATCGGCAAGATACTCGCATATCACCTTTCTTAATGAAACAAGGAACCCTTAACGATGACCTGGACAGAAGAAAGTTCACATTCGCGTAGTGCATGGATTCACTCGCAGGACATGTGAGCTCGGAAGAAAACAAACGCAAAGACGAATAGGAATTCATTTTCGCAAGGAAAGGTGTCCAAACACCGCCTGCAAATGAAATACGCACAGAATTAGCCATTAATTGTTAGCTAGCAGGTTTTCAGCTAGTTAAACACAAATTATGCAGGGAGAAGCAAATTCACTAACAAAATTATATATCGAAGAAAAAATGAGATGAGCAGAGAGACAAAGGCACATGTAGAGTCACGTGTATTTGTCTGTGTGTTCCTTATGTGAAAAAGGAGTTACAGATTGACAGATCAGAAGGAGGAAGAAATAGGCATGACTCAGATCGCGCGGGAGAAGCAAAAGGATGTTTGTGGCGTCGGGGATTCGGGGCGGGTGGTGGAGAGTGGAGAGGGAGTTTCTTTAAGTTGAGCAGTGGAAACATATATATAATAATAATACTTGAGACCTTTCGCTCTTTCAAAAGATATAATATTGAAAAGGTAACGAATAAATTAATGCAGGCTTCATAATTAATAAGTTAGTTATTCATCACCTGTTATGGTAAAGTCTTTTACACGTAACCAAATATATCTTTTAATAATATTATATTATATTATTTATTTATTTAATTTAAAAAATATGATTGATTGTTCGTGTAAAAAAAATTATATGAATAATTAAATTTTACTTATTTTTTCTTTTTTTTATGTTTAAGATTATGCATAAAAAATTAAGAAAATTATTGATATTTTAATTTTTTTAAAATATTTATTACTTATTTTTCTATTATACTCTTTAGGTGGTTAGAAAATAAATAAATACATTAAAAGTAAATAAACATATTTTTAGTAAACACATTAATTATCAAAGATAAAAATAAAAAAGAAAAATAATAAGTCATTAGTTTTAAAAAAGTGATAATGAAAAAAAAATGTGGAAACAACTATAAATAAGAAAATGGAGGGAGTAATTGAACTAAGTATTTTATAATATTAAACTATCAATTAATTAAAAAAGTATAAACTGTTATTAAAAAATATATTTAGATATTTTTTTGGCTTAAAATAAATATAAAATATATAAATATGATTCAACTAAAAAACTTGTTAATATAAAAATAGAGAATTAATAATAATAATCATTAAATTAAAATAAACAAATCAGATTAAAAGAATAAATAAAATTACAATATAATGTCGCTATTATATAATTATTATCAAAAAAAATTATTACTATAATCATCATTATCTTTAATAGAATTATCATTATTATCATTGTTATAATGTTCGTCGTCATTATCATTATCATTATTATTATTATTATCATTATTATTATTCTCATTATCATTATTATTATTACCATTATTTTTATCATTAATATTATTGTCGTTATTATTATCATTATCGTCATTCATCACCATCTTTCTAATAATTATAAATGGTGAAAAAAATAGTAATAACAATAATAATGATAGAAATTGACAATAATAATAATAATAATAATATAACTGATATAATCATTTATCTCTATAACGATAATAATTATAATAATAATAATATCGATTATAATAGTAACAATGATAATAATCACAAGTTTCTAAGTTTAATATTTATAGTAAAAATGTTTTTTTTAGGAGCTAAGAGTTCTCACCTCACGAAAAGAAATTGGGAAAAAAAAATCTCACCTATAATAGATTTAGTCGTGTTTTGCAACATGCACCAAAATATTGAGACAGAAAAATCGTTGTATTTTACACAAACAAGTTAGTAGTTGAAAAGTTTTTTTTCATGTGTACTTTAGGATTTGAGCCAAGTTAAATTACTCGTAATAACAAAACATTTTTCTCTTTTTTAAAATTATCTATCGATAGGATAACTTTATAAACTATCAAGTAAGGTATATATATATATATATATATATAAAGATCTACTTATTTTAAAAATAAGTTTTAGTAAGCTTACTTGATTCAATAATTTATATTTTATAAAAAAAAATTAATGATATAACTGTTAAATTAAATTTTTTTAATATATAGATTAAGTTTACAAGTGTTTAAAAATATTGAAAATCATAAGATGTGGTGTTATATAAAATCAAATCAACATATAAAATATTATTATGATTATCTGTCAATTTAAATTAATGAAATGAAGTATCAAATAATTTTAAAATTTTTAAAAATTTGTAGACTTAAAACATCATTTTTTTTATTTTATGGTTAAATTATTAAAATTTAATGTAAAATATTAATTATTGAGTGAAGTAAATCTTAATAGACTTACTTCATTCAATAACTAATTTTCTACATTAAATCTCTAAAATATATATAAAAGGATGAGTAAATGGATCGCTTATCTCTCTCACACACATATATATTAAATTGCAGTTTTGATCTATTTTATTTTTGTCGATCTGTAATTTTGATTTTTTTTTTTATTTTAAAATATAGATATTTAGTTTCCCTAATTTTAAAAAAATAAAATTTTAGTCTTCCCACTAAATTAACATCTATTAATTATTAAGTTTTATTGTTTATCCTTACTTAAGTGATGTGACATTAATAATATGACATTTAGAGATAAAAAATAATCATATAAATTTATTAATAAAATTAATATCAATCACTCGTTAAAATATATACAAACAAATTTTTTTATATTATTTTTTATCTCTACATCTCACATTATTAAATAATATATCACTTAAGTAGTGATAAGTCAATGAACAACATTCCCTAGCTCTTAGTCAATTAATACAACTCAATTTCATGCATTGATATTATCAACACAACTATTTCAACACTATATACAACACACAAATTTACTATTGTTCAACTCTTATAAACTTACAATTATAAGCAACTTAAATGTGAACATAGATCATCCTAAGTCAATATTGAATGAACTAGAATTATATAATAACATATCCAACATGTGAGTAGTCATTCTACAATTTACGTGTTCCACACTTAAATATGACAATTAATGACAAATTCACAAAATTCAGAGTGTTAAATTATTTATTTTTGTTTGTTAATTCCAGTGGTTTGTTTTGCAGATAAAACATGCGGCAATCCCTTGTTGAGACCCACATGAAGGAATTGAAGGCTCTAAATCTTAAACATCTGGATTTATTTTTCGACTGGCAACCTTCTCGACGATGATTTTAAGAGACATTAGATTGAACAAGATTGTAAAAATGCAAAGGTGGTCATGGAATGAGAGAGTGTAGGAGACGATGTGGCTAGCTTGTTGAACGACTCTGTGACTACTTCATTGATGTTTGGGACAAAATTAGAGGGAGGAGTTGCTATTTTGGAAATTCGAAGAACTAAAATTGTATAATTATAATATTTAAAGATTAAATTATTTAATTAAAATTTTAAGAATAAAATCAAATAATTGTAATGATAAAAAGGATAAAAAAAAAAAGTAACTAAACGTCTAAACCTACTTATTTATTAAGAAAAAAAGGGTAAAAGCAAACGTGTATACCTGTTAAATATAGAAGTGTCTATGTACCGGTGAAAATGTGTGGCTTTCTAACTTTCTATACAAGTTAAACGAAAAGCATTAGAATTAAAAATAGAAATGACATGTTCCCATGACGAAAGAGAGAGAATTATATATATATATATATATATATATATATATATATATAAATAAAAAGGAGATTTAAACAGTATCAATTTAATTTTTATTAAATATTATCACATTTCATTATAGTGCATTTTAATAATTAAATAACTAGTATTTTTTTTAAATCACAAAAAATACAATTAAATTACCACTCGTGTTACTATTTAGGACATACAAATTTAATCCTAACATATAATATCTGCAGTCCTTTACTTTTTTATATATATAAAATTCTTGTGTAACATTTTTTTAAAATGTGACAATTCCTATGTAAATGGATTTTTCTTTTATATAAAACTATTATTAGAACTTAGAACATTATTGATTTTAAAAAATACATGTTTTATATTTTTCTTAGAGGCGTTTTATACGTAAAATATTTTTAATTTTTTAAAATAAAAAATGTTAATTTTTTATGTTTAGTAGATATTTAAAAAAATTTATAGAAATATAATTCTTAGGAATCATTTTTATTTCATTTTTCACAAAAATACTATAGAAGATGAGAATCCAACTTGGGGAAGTTTTATGTGTATAAAAAAAAATTATAATATCTTTTTTAAAATAATATTTTTTTGTTGATCATTATACCATTTTATTTTTAAAAAATTAAATTTTTTGTTTATCAAATTCAAAACCTTAAAATTAATGAATTAATCATAACATCAGATAAATTATTATATTTATATTATTTTATTTTTGTTTTTATTTTATTTTTAATTAAAGTATAAAATGTCTCGACTCACTAGTATAATATAACATAATTGAAATTCATCTTTTTAAAGTATATTTCTCTCTCTCTTTCCTCTTTCTCTCTCTCTCCCTCACTCTCGCTTTTTCTCTCTCTTGCTATTTTTATAATTTAATGATTTTTATTAACACTTTTTTATTTAAATGAAATAAAATAATATATTTTTATATTTCTTATTTATGATATAACATTTTTCTTTATTTAGTTCTTTTGTTGAATTCTGTATTTAAATAACTCTAATTACAAGTTTTTCATTTCTTAAAATAGTTTAATATCATATATGTAATAAGATTTAAGGAAATAAATATATCTAATGAGTTTATTTTAATAAAGGTTATTTTTGTAAACAATATTTATATACCTAATAATATACTATTGTAACCAAATATAATAACCTTTAATTATCAAAAAATCTGTATGAACATTCTCATGAATCTCCATGAGTGACCAAATAGATTTTAGATATTTTCAGAAATTATGATTCTCATGATTTATAATTCTTAGGAATATGGTTCATGACTGCAAAAATTTATCTCCTAAAATATGTTTGGATGAGAGATTTTAATGGAGTAATTCAATTTTTTTTATAAAGAATTTCAAATGCTGTAGTGTAAAATGCTTTATTTGGTTGAAAAATTTTTGTAAAAAATTTGAAATCCATGCATTTGTAAATTTTCTTAAAAATTTTAAATTCTAAAAAAAATGTAAGAATTTAACATTATTATTTTTTTCCCTCTTACCTTCTTATCCTCTCTTTCAAAATTGACACAAAAATATTAATAATTTTTTAATTATTAAATATTCAAATTTATATTTTAAATTATCAAATATTATCTAATAGTATTTTTAATAAATTTAATATTTATAAAAATTATATAATATTTAATCTTAAAAATTAGTTTTATATACAATAGAAATTAAATTACCTCGTCCAAAATAATAATTTAAAATTTAAATTTACTTGTCCAAATAAAATATTTTAAAAATAATAAAAATCGAAATTAAAGTAACTCAATTTCTAAGAAATTTAAAATTTTTAAAATTTTTCATCAAAATACACTATGATTTTCAATAAAAATATATTTTGGAACTTACATAGTATTAAATTTTGTATCCATTTTGTTGTCATACTTTTTATTTTGATTTTTTTAAACTAAACTATTTTTCAAAATAGTAGATGAAGATGATGATTAATAAGAAAAAAAATTTAGATATACCATTAATCATCACCTTTATCTACTGTTCAATTTCATAATATACTTGAGAACTAATCATGATATAGAATTATGGATAAAAACCGTATAAATAAGAGAAATCTGAATCTTTTTGAATTTATAAAAGAAGTTTAAAAATCTTAAGAGAGGAAAAACTCCACCCTCCTAAAGAACCTCTTTATGTAAAATAGGTGTAATTAAAATATAGATTTATCAATTAGTTAAATAATTCCTTTCACAATGTTATTAGAGAATCATATGATGAAAAGTTGCCTTCTATTAATAAAATGATCCATACAATTACTAAAGAATCAAACATATTCACTAATATTTACATTTTGACAAGCATATACAATTTGATTAAAAAAAGATTTAAATATATTTTTAATCCTTCAAATTTATAATAAATTTATTTTTAACCCCTCAAATTTAAAATTAATTTTTAGTCATCGTAATTTTAAAAAGTTTTATTTTAATCTCTCATATTACTAATAAGATATAAAAAATATCAGATTGACACAATCATGTAATATCAATTAAATTTAATATAATATTTTTACCAATAAAAATATTAATAAATAAATTTTATACGATAATATTTAACATATTTTTTTACAAAATTTAAGTATAAAAATTTAAATAAAATTTTTAAAAATAATTTTAAATTCGAGAAATTAAAAATATATTTAATCAAATACAATAAATTAATAACTAGAGCGGATAAATTAATCCTGAGTTGAAAACAGTACCATATCTTTGGAAAAAAAAAATTAATAATAGGATGGGCAGCGAACGATAGAGAGAGAGCGTGGCGCACACCAAACACGATATCGAAGTTGAAGAGAGAAAGGGGGGGTGTTAGGTAGGTAGTGGCCACTTGCTTTTCTCTCTACATAATTACACTCATTGCCACCAACCAACCCAGACCCAGACCCAGACCCAGACCCAAACACCACCAACCTCACTTTCTCTGTTTCTCTCAACAACCAAACTTGATAGTAGTACCACAGCACCCACCTCATATCATATCATTGTGTTTTCCTTCCTTTAATCTCATTCTCTCTCTCTCTCTCTCTCTCTCTCTCTCTCTCTCTCTCTCGTGTATTTCCATTTCTAATGGCGTCTTCTCTCTCCACCAAACCATTCGGAACCGACGCTCTCTCCGCCTTCGCTTCTCTCAATTCCGATCTCCGATCCTTCTCCCCAGGCTACCTCCGACTCTCGCTCCGTCCTCGCCTTACCAAGAGACTCCGTCAGTTCTCTCTCACTTCATTTTCAATTAATCCTAATTTTTATCTGTCTCTTCTTTATCGCGTATGTTTGAATTGTTATTTATTTTATGTGGTTGCTCGGAATTTGAGATATACCAGCTGCTACAATCTGCTCCTCGTTCCTTTTTTACTTGTTACTCTTTTCTGTTTGGTCGAATCGAATTTCTCAGCTAAATGTTTCAATTCGTTCGTGTTCGTCTTGGTTTCCGGTATCGGTTGTAATTCGTTTGTGAGAAATGCGTTGTGACATTGTTATTATGGAATTCGTGTAAGAGTTTCTGAAAGGAAGTGCGTGTATCGTGTTAAGTGAAATTGGAGGTCACATTTCTCGTTCCACCACCGTTTGCATTGCATCGCTTTTGGAGCGGATGCTATTTAACTTATAAGCTAACAGGTTCATGTAGGTGTAGTCTGAAAAATTTCAGAAACTATAGTTAATTGTTATAAATAGGGTTGGAGTGTATGCTAAATACAATGAATTAAAGGAAATAGTTGGTTCTTGCGCCAATTACGTTGCATGTTTACGATTCTAAATTAATGGAACTGAGATGGCCGGGGTTTTAACCTTATGAGATTGTTGACATATTACAGAGATACAGGCGGCTGGGAGTACCTATGGAAATCACTTTCGTGTGACGACATATGGAGAATCTCATGGAGGAGGTGTTGGTTGTGTTATTGATGGATGTCCTCCTCGCATTCCTCTCTCTGAAGCTGACATGCAAGTGGATCTTGACAGAAGGTACTTCTGAAATCAAATCATCTTAGGCACTTCGGAGGTTTAAGAGAAATACTTTATAGGATAGTGTTTTTTTTTTTTTTTTTTTTTTTTTTTTTTTTTTTTTTTTTTTTTTTTTTTTTTTTTTTTTTTTTTTTTTTTTTTTTTTTTTTTTAATATATATATTAAACTGCTAGTTAGAGAATATGACATTTATGAATGATAGGTAATGATTGCTTCTGATGCGACTTGTCTTCAAGGAATAACTGTGTAAGTTCTTATGTATAGGAGGCCAGGTCAGAGCCGAATTACGACTCCTAGAAAGGAGACTGATACATGTAAAATATTTTCAGGAGTCTCTGAAGGTCAATATTTCTTCCGACTATTATTAGCTGGGAATTATACTTTTCTTGAAAAAAGGTTTGAAGTATAATCTGTTAATTGCAGGACTTACCACTGGAACTCCAATTCATGTATTTGTACCCAATACTGATCAAAGAGGACACGTGAGTATCTAATGCTGGAGCTTGTTTATGGCAAGCAACCTTTAACTTAATTTAGGGATGCTGATAAAATATTGTACTCTGGGAAACTTTTTCAGGACTATAGTGAGATGTCTCAAGCTTATAGGCCTTCCCATGCAGATGCTACCTATGACATGAAGTATGGTGTCAGATCTGTTCAGGTACTGACTTTTTTAGTGTATTCATACACTTCTATTCAATGGGATATGTATGTATTAAGCTAATACATCTGAACTCTCTTATGTTTAAGGGTGGTGGTAGATCTTCTGCAAGAGAAACAATTGGAAGGGTTGCTTCTGGTGCTGTTGCTAAGAAAATCCTTAAAGACTTTTCTGGAACTGAGGTGTGTTACTTGTCTCATGAGTTTAGGCTATTATTCTTTGTGGTATTCCTTTGTTCTATTTTTTTTTTGTTATAAATGGCCAAGAAGGATATAATATTTTAGGAATGTTTAGTTTTTTTTTTTCTTTCTTTTTTTCAAAATCCATATTTATATTGCAACTCTTTACAAAATTATATCTTTGCTTCTTGGTTTCTGGTTCTTTTGTTTGCTTTTCAAAGAAAAAATGTGTTAAACTAACGATACAAAAAGAAAAAAAATATTTCTAGTTTCTTATTCTCCCCTCCTTTTTATCTTTCTCATATGCAAGATGTTTGGCCCTCTTCCATTAGTCTTTTTTTATTAATTCTCGCCTTTTGAAATATATGTAAAGGGTGCATATTTTCTTGTTCTTGATATAAAGAGAAATTTTATTAAAGAGAAAAGAGGAAAAGTACAACTAGGGAGCAGAGCACCAAAGGGCTACAATGACTAGAGATATAGTTTAAATAAAACTTGTAAGGCTTGGATACTCTTTACTTTACAAGCCAGTTTTATGAAGATGACTTAAACCTCAAATCCAAATTTTAAAATGGTATCAGAGCTTATTCTAAATTCTTTGTTGGACCTCCTATATTTGTTACTCTCCAAGTCGGTAGCTATGGGTGTGAGGGTGAGTGTTGGAAAGCCATCTTTATTGCGGTCACTCCTAGCCTGCTTTAGTTGTGACCTCTTTAGAGGCTTCCTTAATTGCAGCCATAAGGACATACGACACGGGTTTGGTCTTGGCTATATGAATAGAAAAGCATTTATGGGTAGAGGAATTGCCCCTTAATTGGTACTCTACATCCTGGGAGATAAGTCCCATGGCTGCCGGCTGTGAATATACCCTAGGTCCATCATGGATCTAAAAAAACAGTACACTGTTCTATTGGAGAACTGCATAAATTATAGATTGCTACAGGTTTTAGTTTTTGAAATTAATCATGTTATAATTGATCCAAAGTTAGAGGTTGCACCCAGTGATCACCTAGAACCTTTCATATGAATTTCACCTTCCAATGCAAAAAAGTAAGTTCCATTCTTTCTCTTAATTAGATCTGCACGTAACATATCTTTGTGAGGCCTATTAGCTACATATGTCACGTGTGCTAATCTATTAAATACTGCTGTTGAAATGAAAGACTTGGCTTTAAAGGGACCTCTTCACGTGCAAATGAAGGTGTCAAAAAGGAAACTTTGATGAATTTGAGGTAGAAATCAAACAGATTTAATATAAACGAGAAGAATCCAAAGTCCTATCCCTCCCATCTGGATTAGTAGAGAGACAAGTAGGTTCAAGTAAAAGTGTAAGGTTTTTTTTTCAGGAGCTTAATTATCACTCAAGTTTCTGCTAAAAGGAAAGTTCGAAGCAAATTTGGACCCGGAATAAAATAGGAGTTCTTAATAGTTGATTTATGTATAGAAGACAGATGATAATTTATCATTGATAAAAGGTGTCAAAAGCCTCTATGTATGAAAGAAACAGTCCTCACCCAAAATTCCTTCTAAGACAAATGACTATTATCTCCTAAAAAAGAAACAATGTTTAGGAAACACTACCCTAAATTTAATGTTTTAAACTTCCAATGACTGGTGTGAGTTGCAGTACTGGGTTGGCATCCTAGCGTATTGATCTTATGTAGTGTGCATATAGTGCACATGTACTTGTTAGAGTACGATGATTTAAAAGAAACATTACCCAAAAACTAGCATGAATTGCAGTGACCACTGGTTTGGCATCCTATCCCTACTGATCATATGTGAAGTGAGCTAAAGCCTAATCTTACCAGGTCTCTCCATTAATTTCTTTTTTGCTCTTTCCATATTTTACAAAATGCAAATTTTTATTCACCAATGCATGGTTGATATAGATAAAATAACATTAGTATGTGTACATGTAAGTATGTAACAGGTTTATATTTTCCAATTCCTTAAGAAAGTTTCTAGCTAAAGGTTTCTTATTTTTCAGATTCTTGCCTATGTCTCTCAAGTTCATAAGGTTGTTCTTCCCGAGGACCTTATTGATCATGATAATCTGACACTTTCTCAGGTATTAAAGTTAATATTCATATTTATACATGCATAAGCAGCACAGTGTTTCCTTTGCAAGGCTGTTTGAAGTAAATTTCATGTATTCTAAACTTGGAGATGACTATCTGTTTTTTTTTCTTCTAATGTTTCCTTTTATGGATTTTGAATGTCACTAACTAACAAATATTATGATTGAGCAAAGGTTTTAGTTTACATATCTTATTATATAACACATTTCTAAGACTAAAACTGATTTCTACCAAATAGATTTGTCTTAAAATTACTCACTCACTAGTGATTTTCACCAAAGAAATCTCATTGCAATTCTAAACTGAAACTTCAACATCACCAATGATTATTACTAAGGAAATGACTTTTACCATTACGAAGGAAATGATTAATGAATACTTTTACCATCCGAACATTCTCTCCTGGGGCCTGGGCATCCAGACACAAAGCTGAGTTTCAGGTCAATGTGCAAATGCATGTACATTGTTCTCTTAAATTTTATCTTACAATTCTTACAGATTACAGAATACAAATTTTTAACCAGTGCATGAATGAAAGTGTCAAATCTATCTATTTTTAACTGATGATGAGTTATTGATGGTAAAGGGGAACCATTCATATAAAAATAGATAATTTTTCATTATCATGAAAACATGGCTAATGCATTTAACTATAATGTTTTATGAATATAATCTGCACTAGACTTCTGTATATTTCCCAAATAATTGTCGATTTGCCACTAACTTTTCGTAGAATTCTTAACGGTGCTTATCCAATACGTTATGCGCTTGCAAGTAAACTACGGAAACTAATATTGATTTCAAATAATTAATAATGTGCGAATACAATATTATTTCTTTTATTGAACAGGTTTCATCATGCTATCCTGATCAGACATTTACAATGCAGTATTCCAAGTTGTCTGATTATTGTTGTTTTGAGAATACTTTTTATTGATGTTCTTATCATTATTTTATTCTCGCAATTCTAAAGCCAAATTTCTGATTTGCCACTTTTTCTTTTTTTAATTTTTTTTTTTCCAGATTGAGAGCAACATTGTTCGATGTCCAGACCCTGAATATGCAGAGAAGATGATATCTGCAATTGATGCTGTGCGAGTGAGAGGTGATTCTGTTGGTGGCGTAGTAACATGCATTGTGAGGAATTGTCCACGTGTAAGTCTTTTCACCCTCCCAAATCTCAATCAAGCAGAAATAATTGGGCAAGATAGCAAGTACGGTTTAGGTTACAAATAAAATTATAGAAGTGAAAACAACTGAGTTATGAAACTCAGCTATCACATGGATAGTTGGCTTTAAACAGAAATACAACTACAGTAAAAACAATTCAAAAACCAAAATCTAAATAATAAAATTCAATCTCCTATAATCAGGGGCGAGGATAGTGTATCCTCCTCTGATTTCTGAAAAATATATTTTTACATGTATTTTAATATATTGGTCCCCCTAAACATTATTGTTTATTTTTTTGTTTAAATGTGTTTTTCATTCCTAAAAAGTTGGCCAAATTTGATTTATTTCCTGTTACTCTTTCTGTTTGTTCTCTGTAAAATACATGTTTTAGACATTTTAATCCTTGTCTTTGGATTTGCTTTGTTAAGTGGTGAAGTATAATCTGGTTGTACCACATGTCAATGATCCGCTTGTCATATCATCACCTAACAGAGTAAATCTAATGGTAGGGACTAAAATCATGTATTTCAACAAAATCTGGGATCAAATTAAAAAAATAAAGAAGAGAATGACCAAAATCAAAATTAGTTAATTTTTCAGGGAAGAGTAACGTATTCAAGATTTTTTTTTTCCTCTTCTAGGAATATCTTTTAGCTTTGCCTCTACCTGTAATAATGCCTAATGATCCTCAAATTAATCTAATCTATAAATCTTGTGGAAACTGTACAAAAACACTGGCAATTTGATCGTAACAAGACTCAGACAAGCTGTACTCTAGTCATCTGAGTTTTAGAGCTTCCCTTCAATGAATAGCATATATTTACTTTTAGAAGAATTACCTTGTAGCTTAGCTCAATATGAATTAGTATTGGATTTCTCTTTGAGGGTTCTTGACCGTCTTACTTGACATTTTAATATTTAACACGAGAAAGAAAAGAGAAGAAGAGAACACTCCTTTGAAACCATGCTTGAATCTCCCTTAATATATCTACTTGCATTACTGATAAATTGTAAGACACCTCTCAGTTTTCATCCTAACACCAAGTAATTTTTATTTGTATTATTCAGATTTTTCATTTACTTTCCCACTTAGAGTAGAAATGACATTATTATTTCTCAGGGTCTCGGTTCGCCAGTATTTGACAAACTTGAAGCTGAGCTGGCTAAAGCTGTTATGTCATTGCCTGCAACCAAGGGCTTTCAGTTTGGTAGTGGGTTTGCAGGTACTGCTTCTTGTTTATGTATATGTCCGAGTGACCTTTTCTTATGATTTTTGTCTGACTATACAGGGATCAGTTATAGAACGTTACTTTCTTTGATCACTTGTGTCTGAGATGTGTTTTGATGGCTTAATGAAATCATTATAGGCACCTTTTTGACTGGGAGTGAACACAATGATGAGTTCTATATAGATGAACATGGAAAGACAAGAACAAGAACAAATCGATCTGGTGGGATACAGGTATTTATGCTGTTCTGTAATTACTAATTAGCTGTTTCTAGATGTGCGCTATGATGGTCATGTGTCTATTTGTTTTACTTACATTATCTGTATTGACAATCAGGGTGGGATTTCCAATGGGGAAATCATTAATATGAGAATAGCTTTCAAGCCAACATCGACAATTGGAGTAAGTCTAATCTCTTGTGTTTGTCTTCATCGCTATCTCATTCATCCATCACACAAATATACTAGACACTCAGATATGTTCACTGATATCTTTCACATTGCTTATTCTTGTTAGAATATCTTGATTTTTTTAATATACTATTTGGTATCTTAAGGATATTTTAGAGTATCTTCAGTAATCTTTAAAGAATGGTTTTTGTATTTCATTATTTGTACCAAAATTGTAGGGATTTAGGTATAGGAAGAGGAAAAGAGAGATAAAAGAGACTGAATAATATTCTCGTGTATTTTTAATGTGATGTAATATTATGTACATGTTTTACCCCATTTTAAGCTGATCAGGTGGATTTATTGCAAATTTCGTTATACATGACAATTACCTGGCACTACCGAATGTTATTGATATATGAAGTGAACTTGCTATTTCACTTATGCAGAAGAAGCAACATACTGTGACCCGAGATAAAAAAGAAACAGAGTTGATAGCCCGTGGTCGCCATGATCCTTGTGTTGTCCCAAGAGGTTAATAACCTTGCCTTTTTTTAGAGTGTTGTTTGTATTATCTTCAGGTCATTTTTTATTTATTTTTAAACTGTCTCTGAGAATTCATCTAAATTGCTGGGAAGACAATCCTTTAGAATTTAGAACTGTTAACAATGGCCTGAAGGGCATGACAATTTGTTACATGACAACTTCTGCTTAAAGACATCTAAATCTAATATCAGAAAGAAAAAAAAAAGGAGAATTTTATGCATTATATGTCTGCATGATTTCCTATCTTGACAAAATTTCATGCTTTGAACTCCTTTTTGGCTTACATTTTATAAAAGAAAATTTCTGAATTTTTTTGTCTGGACTGGGCTTGCAGCTGTACCCATGGTAGAGGCAGTGGTAGCTTTGGTTCTTGTGGACCAGTTGATGGCACAATATGCCCAGTGCAATCTGTTCCCCGTAAACTTAGATTTTCAAGAACCCTTGGTGCCCATATTAGAGCCAGAAGAAGTCCCCTTCTGAAGAAGATGAAGGGTAATTGGCCATTGATAAGATCTTCCTTCTGGTTAGTGCTTAGTTGACGGTTAATTTCCCTCTCTTGAGGATCCGGCTCTTGGTCTGCCTGCTTGTTCGCACTGTGGCAGATATTTTTGCGGGTGCAATCTATCGTCTTGTATTAATGTAAGTTAAACCATGTTTCTTTTTATTTTTTTCCTTTTTCATTTTGGGGGTGAACATTGTTTCTAGAAAACCTTGCTGCAAAAGCACCGAGGTTGATGTATTCTTATAGTGAACTGCTATGATATTGTAAGAAATGTAACAGATTTTGAAGGTCTTTTAAGTGTTGCTCTGCATTTCAATAAATGAATCTTTGGAAATTTTAGCTGGCTGTTCGTATTGCGCATTAGATTACGATGTCAACTTTCTAGTTTTATATATTTGTATGTGCATAAATTAACATAAATTTCTGGCAAAGTTTTAAATAGCGTTTACAAAGATTCTTAAACTCGTTAAAATATACTTTGGACACAATATTTTGACTTGTTAAGAATGTAACGAGGAAATCCACTGGAAGCACGTATCACAAAAATTACCACACTAATTCATAAAATATCACACAAATATAGTTAATTCATGTTTACAAAACCGTACTCTTTTCACGTTGTCCGAAATGTGCACAAGAATTGTGGGAAGCATAGTTTTCAACCATTCATGTATCCATGTTTTAAAATTGAATAATGTCTCTTCTAATTCTTATTTTTATTTCACTAAATATAAATATTATAAAATAAAGTAAATATTTTATGACGGAAATTTAGTATTTTAAAATTTAATAGTTTGAAATAATCATTCTGAAGAAAAACAAAGAAGGTTATCTTGTAAGCAAAATTTGAAGTCTTTTAAAAGAGTGTAAAAAATATTATAGCTGTAATTTAAAAAAAAAATGGAGTCAAATGTATATTTTTAATGCGTACCATTCTTTAGGGGTAGAATCTATCATATTTGGGTAACGAGTTTTTTGATTTTTGTTTTAAATAGAAATTAACATAAATTTAATGGAAAATTAAAAGTAGAATATGATGTATTATATTTTTATATACCAAAACAAGAATATATATATATATATATATATATATATATATGAGGAGGGATCTTTTTACTTCATATACTTACTCCGTTCAATAACTCGTGTTTTACATCAAATTTCAATGATTCAACCGTTCAATTTAAATTTCTTAATGCATAGTCAAATCTGCAAATTTTGAAAAATTTGAAAATCATTTGATATTTCATTTCATTAATTCAAATTGACGGATAATCATAAAATTATTTTATACATTGATTTGAATTAATGAAATGAAGTATTAGATAATTTTCAAATTTTTTAAAAATTTGCAGATTTGATCTATGTATTAAGAACTTTAAATTGAACGGTTAGATCCTTGAAATTTGATATAGAACATGAGTTATTAAACATAAAAAGTCTACGTAGACTTACTCCTAGAATAAAAAGATCCCTCCTCTCTCTCTCTCTATATATATATATATATTAATGAGTAGTTCAACATTTGTTTATTTTAACTAAGAATTGGAATTAAATCTCTCAAATACTACATTAATCCTACAATATATTGGTTCGTGGAAAAGAATTATACTCACTAGTTGTGAGCAAAATTATATAAGAAGACAGTATAATACAAAAGTGTAATTTATTCTTTAATGTTTTAATTTTAAATAAATGATGTATATATATTCAATTTTACTTTATTCCTTTGAAAGCAGATTTTTTTTAGACGAGCCTCATTCCTTTTTTATTTATTTATTAAAAGTGAAGCAATATTAAAAATCCAAGCAGAGGTAAATTGTGACCATAAGCCAACTTTACTTGAATGCTTTTAAGTAAAATTATATATTAAAGTTTCAACAATATTTATTTGTTAAAATTTTTAATTATATAAAAATAAACATTTATCTTGCATAATGTGATTTAAAATACTAACAGATAAATAAAGATAAAAAAAATTTAATGAACAAAGATTATATATATATATATATATATATATATATATAAGCATTATTCATGTTTCCTTAATATACTTTAATGTATTGTTTCTTTTTTATAAATTTTAATTTATTAAAAAAGACTTAAATTTGTCAAATATTTACACTTCTTATTACTATTATTATTTCAAGAGTTTAATAGACATGTATTAATATAAAATTTTTTATATTAACAATCAATCGAATAAGTTTTAAATTAATTATTATAAGTGAAAAAAAATGAGAGAATATTGAGATTGCAGGAACGGGAAAAAGAGAGTTACTCCCTGCCTCTGCTCCCCGTAAGTGCCATCCCTACGTCTGAATCTCTGATTCTATATAAGTTTCTTAATCAAATTTTAAATGATTAATATAATCATTTGGGTTAAATGGTGATTAAGACGACAACTAACTATTCAAACTTTGTTAATCCTAAAGGTCAGACAATCTAATATAAGTCCAGGTGGATAAAGTATAAAGTATTCTGAAGTGCAGGATATATAAAGTAAATATCATTCATTCGATCATTCCTAAAAAATAAATATATATATAAGAAAGAAATCAATTGTTACTAATTAAACAAAAACTAATGATCAAGTGTAGGTCCAGTCGTAAGACAATGAAAAAGAAAACGGGAGGCATATTTTACCTCGGCCCAAAAGCGTGAAAAAGGAACAATAGGGCTTTTGTCTTTTTGAGATTAAACCCAGGTTTGGACATGCATCTCCTTTCACCACATTTTAGGGTTGGGATGAGAATCTAACCCGTCCTGTGAGTACTTATCTGAATTTGTTCTGATTTAGACGAGAAAAATTTGTATTTATTGGGTTTAAGTTTGAGTTTTTTCTTATTGATAAAATCGAGAGCGGGGGTAGAGATTAGGGATGGCAATGAGGCTCCATGGGGGCGGGTAATAGTAACCCTGCCCCGCCCCGCTAGATGAAAATTGGTCCCATACTTACCCAATATCCGCGCGGGTATCCATGAATTTCTTGAATACCCGCAGATATCCATAAATATTTATAAATTTTTTAAGAAATTAAAAAAATTATATACAAATAATTTTAAGTTTATATTTAATGTAATTGAAATATTAAAAATAAAAATTCAATGTTAATTTTGAACTTGTATTTAACGTTAATTTTGTTGAAATAATAATAAAAATGCAAGATAATCAATAACTTAAAATACATCAATCTCACAAGTAAGTTAAAGTCTCATCACAAAACTACAATAATTCAATATCATAATTCGAAACAAAAATAAACAACTTAAAATACATAAATTTTATTGGTCCAATCAAAGAAAGAAAATTAATCAAATTACATCCAACATAATTCTATAACATGCTTAACACATGTTGGTAACTTCATCAACCTCACTTTTGTAAGAAAAAAAGATGAGAGAGTGTAGTTTTAGGGTTATGTGGTACAATGATATTTATGATATTTAAGAAATATTATTAAACGGGTCCCCGCGGGTATGGATATCGTCATACCCACCCCCGCCCCGTTTATAAATGGGTAAAAAATTATTCGTTTCCATTATCCGCGGGTACCCAATTAGCCTCTCTATTTATTATCCGTAACGGATTTTACTCGCAGATACCCGTGGGTATGGGTATTTTTGTCATCCCTAGTGGAAACGAGGATGAGGATGTTAATACCTACCCCGCCCCCGCCCCCACCCCGCTTAATAATATAATTAAAAAATTCTTTATATATATATAAACCAAAATTAGAAATATTTATATGTAAAAATTTGTATTATTTTATTTTCCTTTTATTTTTTTAAAAATTTGTTCATATTTTTTTAAAGAAAAAAAAAAGAAAGGTAAGAACAGGGGCGGGACGGGTAAACCCGAACCCCGCTGGAGACAGGAATGAGTACCCAAATTTTATCCCAGCAGGTATCGGGGGCAGGGACAGAAGTGCGGGCAGGGAATGTAAAACCCGCCCCCACCTGTTGTCATGCCTAATTTAGGGTGAGAAGTAAATGGGTTTCAAGCATGTGATTAATTTCAACTATTATGTTTTACTCTTTATAAAACTGTAAATGTTGATATATATATATATATATATAGTATTAAAAAATATTTACTTTTGTTCTCATTATTTAAGAAATATCATGTCACATTTTCGAATATATGGTTGCCACATTATAGTTGAATAATAATAGAGACTAAATTATAAAATAAAACTTTATAAAAACGAAGGGACAATTCCTTTATGAAGATTAATACCATAAAATGAATTTATATTATAAAAAAGAGAAACGTAATTAACCGGAAAAAAATATTTTTAAAACCTATCCAAAAGCACTGTGTCAGTCACTGTCTTTGTATGACGTTCATGTAACGACCAATAATGTTTAGCAGAAGAAATGTACATAATAAAGAAATGAAATGTCATGAATTGCTTCACACTTATAATGGCTTTCAAATTGTAGTTTTTGTTATTATCCACAATGATGACCCATTGAGACGACAGCTTATATTTTTGTGATACGTCGTATTTGCACGAATTGACGTTATAACATACACATAGGAATACTTATTTTTTTTATTAATTTTTTTACCTCCATAAGCCTTTGTTTGATTTAGAAAAAAATAAAAGGAAAAGAAGAGAAGGAAAAACACAATTATCAAGAATTTTTCTTTCATTTGGTATGCTAGAAAATGAGAAAGGGAAGAAAAAAAGTGTGGAAGGTTCCACATTAAATTAATTCTTTCTATGTTAGAGAGAAAACTAGCATAAAAAATAAAAAATAAATAAATTAAAAGTACCATCATATCTTTCATAATTATACTATTCACGAATAAAATTATTATATCTAAAAATATTTGTCATTTTATCAATATATTTCTTTTTTTTTTCTTTCTTTTTTTCTTTCACTTTTTTTCTTTCTTTCTTACTAATTAAACAATCATCTTATTTCTCTTTTTAGTAAATTTTACACACTACTATAATTTCTCTTATTACATGCGACTTTTCTTGCGAATTTTTCATAAAAATTTGCAGGAAACGTTGTTCCTGCGAAATTTTATCTGTAGGTAATACCTTCGTGGATAATATTTTTTTGCGAATTTTAAAATTCGCTGGAAATTTTCCTACGAAATTTCTTGCGAAAAAAGTTCGCAGGAAACTTTCCTGCGAATTTTTTCGCAAGAAATTTTGCAGGAATGTTTTTTACAAAAAAAATTAAAGAAATTACTATAAATTCTATCAATAATTTTTCAACTTTCAAATGCTCACAATGAATTCATCCGAAACATTTGTTTTCATGCCTCCAACATGTGATACATAATCTTTTAAATTCTAAGATTGTAGATTATAAGCCTAACATTCA